GCATGAGTGTGGTCTGAGAAACTTCTCCACCAGTCCCAACAAGTACCCATGAATTCCTGTAATTCAATAGGTGGCACTCTTCCTTCTAGCACCACCCTGAATCAGCCGTGCTAAACCGTGGGGCCAGAAGCCCGGGGAACATGGACTAGAGTCTGAGAGATACACACCTGGGGCTGCAGACCAATCACTGTAATTAAGATCCCCCATCGTATTGTGCATATGAGCCAAAGTGTTAGCACCAGCTTTCCGGGTCACAGTTCACTTCTGGTAACTGTATTGTGTCTACTAAGACTTCTGCAGTTTTAACTAGGTAAGTAAGACCTTCCTCGTTTTTCCATTTTAAAAGCTACTGGGTGGAATCGCCTTACAGTGACACAGCCCCTGTCCCTGCCCAGACTCCAGGTGGATGAGTTTCCGAGATAGGTAGAGTGCTCCCACGAGTGTGTTAACCACCTGACAGAGGCGGGAGAGACGTAATGAATTAATAGCTGTTGAGTGCTTTGATATCTTAAGATGAAAGGCACTGTGGCGGTGCAAAGCATTCATATCCAGACTCGATCACAACAGGAACTCAATTAAAAAGTAATTCCATGTCTTATCCGAGTGTTTGAGTACAGACCACTGTTTTGCAGAAAGTGACAGTCTCAAGATCCAGCCAAGACTGATTTTGAAGTTACCACCTCTTCCCCCTCTTTCTTGACTTCCTCGCCCTGCTGAGACCAACAGAATTTGAGAGATGGCAGGTGAGGCCACAGAGCACATGGCCAAAATAATTTCCTATGGTCCTCAGAATCGGAATTTTCAGATAAAATTTGACTTTTGGGTAAATACGCAATCACTTGGAAGTAACAAAATTTCCAGCCATGAATACATTTCATGATGATCTCCAGAAATGGCTGCTAAGTTTTTAAAATGTCCTTTTACAGATAATCCCACAAGGGCAGCCCTGAGCTACTAAGCATGGGGCCTGCATCAGTCAGCATGAGCACCATGATCATGCCAAACAGAGAGGAACAGACCTGCGGTCATGACAGGTATTACTATGGGCCCATGGTACACTGCACGGGAGACAGTATCATTAACTGGACCCTGCAGACATCTCCCCCATACCTAGAAGAGATGGATACAATCTTTTTTCCCCCATGTTACTTGGCTTTAGGTCTGTGTAAGGATGATCAGTTTAGATTAATTGCCTAGATCAAGAGACGGCTCTTAAGTGTCAGAACTGTGCCACATATTCCAGAGGGGTGGGTTCTGTTTACTGGCATGAGAAATATTGTCATGAGGCACTTGGGAAGGCAACCATAGGGCTATTAACCATTGAGATGGATTGTGTTATATAGTCAACATATTCTTATAATGGTTCATTGAGGTCTACAATACTCCATTCCAGACCTCCCAGAACCTCCCACACTTCTAGAATAACACTAAGGCAACTCACATGCATGCATTCACCAAGCCCTCCTACGTAGAGGCCTGTGCTGGGTACAGATGATGTGACCATGTACGAGGCCCTGCCTTTGGAGCTCTTATGTTTCAGTGAAAGAGAAAAAGCAGGAACAAGCAACTCAATGAAAATGATAATTTTACATTACTATAAATGTTAACAAATATAGAGCAAAGGGGGGGTAGCTACTTTATTATTTTTTTTTTAAAGATTATTTATTTGAGGGAGAGAGAAAGAGAGAGAGAGAGAGAGCACAGAGAGTGAGTGAGAACACGAGTTGGGGGGGGAGGCAGAGGGAGAGGGAGAAGCAGGCTTCCCACTGAGCAGGGAGCCCGATGTGGGGCTCGATCCCAGGACCCTGGGATCATGATCTGAGCTGAAGGAAGATGCTTAACTGACTGAGCCACCCAGGCGCCCCGGGGAGTGGCTACTTTAGACAGGGAGGTCTGAGTCAAGGAAGCATGTGATGGCAAGGCCTACATCAGTCTTGCTCACAGTGACAGGCAGCACTTGCATAGTGCCTTGCACATATTAACTGTTCAATACACAGTGGCTGGGTGGATAAAGTGGATGAAGGGATGAATCTGGACCTCGGGTATACAAGATAAGAATGCCCCCCACCCCTCAAAAAGAATGTCTTCTCTCAAATTCGGAATGGGCCCAAAGAACTGACTAACACTCTTCTAAACTGCTTGCTGTATATGAAGCAAACCGAAGGAAGACCAGAGAGGTTAAGTGATACTAGATTTTGCAGTGAGTTGGTGGCTAAACCACTGCTTTGCCCAGGGGTGTTCTATCTGTGCATCATGTTTTATCTTTTCTCTTAACCTCTTCAATTGTCATGTGCCTCTGCGATAAAAAACCCTAAAGGAGTTCTCTGAGTCATGAATAAACATCAATGATCAATAGTCACTCCATTGCCAAACTGTGTTGACTTTTCCCTGACTCTTTTTGTTAGTTTTCCTTTACTATCACACAGTGAAATCCCAGCCTTTATCTACAAGCTAGTATATTACAGCCTTCCCAAACAATCTTTTTAACTCTGTTGATATCTGCAATGTGTATCAAAAGCATCTTTCCTCTCTGATTGAGATAAAAAACCCTATACCAGATTTTTTCCTGAAACTAACTTCATGTGTCTTCTCTTTTCTTACTCATTTCTTACTCTTCTATTTTCTACATTCATCCACTCCCTCCCCGCCTTCCTCCCTCATTCAGTCACTCACCTTTACCATGTGCCAAACACTGTGTTAACCACTGAGTATACAAAGACAAATAAGACACTGTCCTTGCCCTTAAAGAGCTCATAGTGTATGGTCTGTCCCATAAATGGGGCGTTATATTACAGAGTAAGTACAATCACTGAGAGATGCACAAAGTATTAAAGAATGAAGGAAAGCACTTAATCCAGCCTGGGGAACCAGGGAGGACCACCTGTAGGAGATGATCCTAACTGGAGCCTTACAGAAAGAACAGGGGTAGCTGATAAAGGGGGAAGGGCATTTCAAGCAGAGGGAACAGCATGAGCCAAGGCCTGGAAAACAGAAACTGTATGTTTTGTGTGATGTGGTGTTGCCGGAACACAGGGTAGGAAGAGATGACGCGGGAGAGTCCCTCTAGGGGGTGAAATCATCTAGCAAGCTTTGAATTTGCCTTATAAATGACATGAGCCAATGGCAGGTTTTAAGCTGGAGTCTGAAACTGTTGGGTTTATGATTTAGATAGACACTGCAGTTGGTAATGGACTTGTGGTGACAAAGTCAGGAAGACCAGTCAGTAGGCTTTCCAGTAGTCAGGTGAAGAAATTCAATGTAAGTAATGGAAGACAGATCAAGAGGAGGGGCTGGATTTAAGAAAACGTAGGATACCAAAATGGCATGACTTGGTAAAGAACCTGGGGGAGAGGGAGTAGGAGCCGTCAAGGGTGACTTCTAAGATTCTCACAGGGTTGACTAGGGGGATGACAGGGCCAACATCAGGAGACAGAATAAGTTAAAAGGACAAGAAATACAACATGAGTGGACACTGATGTAAACCATGGACTTTGGGTACTGATGATATGTCCATGTAGTTTCTCTGACTGTAACAAATATATCACTCTCCTGCAGAATAGATAGTAGGGGAGGCTGCGTGTGTGTAGGGTCAGGGGATATGGTAACTCTTGATACTTTTTGCCCAATTTTCCTGTGAACCTAAAACTTCTCTAAAAAATAAGGTCTATTTAGGGGTGCCTGACTGGCTCAGTTACAAAAGCATGCAACTTTTGATCTTGAGGTCATAAGTTTGAACCCCACATTCGGTGTAGAGGCTACTTAAATAAATAAAGCTTAAAAAAAAAAAAAAAAAAAAAAGACCAGAGATGTCAGACAAGACAAGATGGTGAGTTCAGTTTAAGATGCCTGTGGGAGACCCAGGAGGATAGTCCACAGCCCGAGTTTGGGTACGTAAGGGTCAAGTAGACATCTAAGAAGAGTGATACATATGGGGGCCCTCAGTTTAGAGGTGCTCTTATCTAGATTTTCTGAAAGGAAGCAAAAGTTTGTGAGACAGAGAGAAGGAAGAACTGCATCTCAGTCAAGGAAAAGAGAGCAAATGCATGGAGCCATGGGTGTATCCCCCAGGGGCTGTCAGGAGAGCACGAAGTTCCAGATCAGCCCTGAGAGATCATCGTGGGTTTCAGTTGTCCCACTGTGAGCAGAGCCCTTACAGCTTGTATTTCTTCCTCCTTGTCTTTGGAGTGCAGGTGTGCTCATACCCGAGATAGTCCTGATTGCTGCATAAACCAGATGGTTAGCACGTTCTTTTAGCCAAGCAGCTATATGCAGCCCACGCACCTGCTACAATGCTCCATTTGTCCCCGGGGGGAACACAGAATGTGACCGAAGTGTGTTCGGGGGCTTGCACTGGTGCACTGCAATCTGAACTCTCACAGCGGTTTTTAAACAAGGCTGTGTGTTGGAATGATCTGTGGAGCCTTTTTTCAAATACTTCCTTCCTGCCCCTGCCCTGCTCTCCCCACCAGGGGATTTTGATCTTGGTGAAAGAGGGTGTGATGCTGCACCTAGGCATGTGTGTTTTCAAAAGCTCCACATATGATGTGAAAACTACTACCTTTAGGAGTCTAAGTCGGCTCTGTGTGGTGCTTCTCACGTATTATCTAATGGTGCTAAAAGCCGAAGATGCCAAAGGCATCTTTCTAGCAATGGTGAGGGATCTTATCCAGTTTATTTTTCCTCATGGCTCTTACCACCACATAACTTTATATGATGTATCCATTTAGTTGTTTATTAGTTATCTATCTCCCACAATGGACTGTAAATGTCCCAAAAGAAAACACTTCATCTGGATTTCTGTTGTAGTCTCAACACCTAACAGTGTTTGGGATGAAGTAGGCACTCAGTAAGTATACTTACCTGCTAATGCCTGTTACTTAACAGGGAATGTCCCCCAACTTTGAAAGGGATGATTCTCTTTTGACCTTTCAAATATAAACAAAAACCACACACCAAACTGAAATGTATAAAACTGTATAGTAGATATAAAATCTACTTACCTTAGCATAGTCTAATCTTCCTTTCTCTTGAGCCTAAAGTAGAAAGAGGAGGAAATTAATTTGTTAGTTCTTCAAAAATTATTTAGTGCTTCTATAACTTGTACTTCTCCAAGAATAAAGGTCAACACTCTCTCCCTTGGTCCCCTACTATGTATCTCTTTATACATCTACATAGTTGTATCTCTATACAACTATATACATATAACACTTTTAAATACAATGAAGAGTTGAAAGAACAGGATAGTGAGCACACGTATACATTCTATCTAGACATGACAATGGCATACATCATGATTCTTCACCCCACCAAGCTTCAGCACGTTTTATAAGCACAGAATGTCTCATACATAACCACATGACTGCTATCGAATGTTGCAAACTAACAATAATTCCATATTATCTAACATATAATCTATATTCAAATTTCTCCTATTGTCCCTAAATTATCTTTATTAGCTTCCCCCCCCAACCAGAATTAATCAAGATTTGCACATTGCACACGGTTTTTGTATCTCTGGTTAGTCTTTTTTTTTTTTTTTAAATCTTTAATTTTTTATTGTTATGTTAATCACCATACATTACATCATTAGTTCTTGATGTATCTCTGGTTAGTCTTAAATCTAGACTAGATCCTCCCCATTTTTCAAGAAGTAAAAATAAAAACCATTAACTTTTTCATGAAAATCACTGACTTTTTTTTTTTAGATTTTATTTTTAAGTAATGTCTACACCCAATGTGGGGCTCAGACCTACAACCCCGAGATTATGAGCTGCATGCTTGACTGGCTGAGCCAGCCAGGCACTCTGAAAATCATTAACTTTTTTGATTTGTCATATTATTTTTCCACTGTGTCATTTAACTTGTCCCTGTTTTGCTTGCAAGCTGAAAGTTGGGTCTGAAAAAGCTTGCTTAAACGTTTCTGCCATGAGTACTTGATACAAAATATTACATACTTAATACTGTATCAATTCAGGAGGCACAAAATGTCAGGCTGTCATCGCTCTTAGTAGTGCTATAAATTTGATCACTTGGTTAAGGTGGTGACTATCAGATGGTTCCACGGGAGTGACATGTTTCCTCCTGTATAAACAGTAAGTAATCTGTGGGGCCATGGTCTCTTCCACTTCCTTTGGCATAATTTTTATTATGTTGTATTGTTGAAAGACCCCCACCTCCACTCCCCACCCCACCAGGGATGATAGAAAGGTGGAATTGAAAACGGCATACTAGGGGTGCCTGGGTGGCTCAGTTAGTTAATCTAATCTGAGTCTGATTTCAGCTCAGGTCATGATTTCGGGGCTGTGAGATCGAGTGAGCCCCACACAGGGCTCCACGCTCAGCATGGAGTGTTTGGGATTCTCTCTCTCCTTCTGCCCCTGCCCCTGGCACTTTCTCTCTCTCTAAAATAAAATAAATCTTAAAAAAAAAAGACATTCTATATGGGGTCAGACTTTATTTAAAATATTTTAGTTATTAGCTCTTTTTCGCCGCCATCCTGCTCTGCGTGGCTGGCTGCTTCTCGCCATGTCTTCTCACAAGACTTTCAGAATCAAGCGATTCCTGGCCAAGAAACAAAAGCAGAATCGTCCCATTCCCCAGTGGATTTGGATGAAAACTGGTAATAAGATCAGGTACAACTCCAAAAGGAGGCACTGGAGAAGAACCAAGCTGGGTCTGTAAGGCATCACACGTCATGAGATGACACACCTAACTGGCATACATATTTAATTAAGCTGCGTGAAGATCATGTGTTCTATCATTCTGTAAACATCCTTCCTACCTGGCCATAGACTTGTCTTATCATGGAAATGATTTTTCTGACTATGCCTCTGCACCAGTAGGTTGGTTCAGTAATAAATGTGAGACCTCTCGGCTCTACTACTGTTGTGTTTCTGATTTGCAAAGTACTGAATTCCCCACCTGTCAGATCATGCACAGCACTGTCAGAACTTCCTGCAGTGATAGAAATGTCCCTTGACAAGCAAGTATGTAAAGTGTGGCTAGGGGGTGCCTGGGTGGCTCAGTGCCTTAGGCCCAGGTCATGATCTTAGGGTCCTGGGATCGGGCTCCCCACTGAGCAGGGTATCTGCTTGCCCCTCCCCTGGCTCGAGCTCTCTCTTCTCAAATAAATAAAATCTTTAAAAAAAATATTTTAGTTATTAAAAATTTAAAATTAACACATATACTCAAATGTATTATATATAATATCCTAACATGATAGAGACAATCAATGTATTAATCTTTGTTTATATATCAGCTCATTTTTGTAGACTTCAGAATAAAACTCCTGCTACCTCTGCGCAGAGGAAGAACTATTCAATTTGCAAATAGGTTAGGTCTTGAGACCATTTTGTTCCTAAGTCAAATTACTACTTGAGAGAAAAGATGTTTATATAACATTGGTCCTGACTCTTCTTGCTTCTTTATAATCCTTTAAAAATTTTATACAAAGATGCCTGCATTTTGTTTTTCTTATTTTCATAATAACTGCTCAGGTATTAGCCATTGGTACCATCACAAACCACTCTAAGTTAAAATTGTGACTTGAATGTTATTCTATGACACAAAAGGCTTCTGCAACCAATGTAATATAACAAAGAATTTGGAGTTTTCAATCTGCTCTTCAAATGTTTTAGGGATCTAGATTTTCAGTGAACTATGAAGAGTTTGAATTTAATCCCGAGATGCATTATGCCACAAGGAATAGGAGTCAGTTCTTTTTTTTTCTTTAAAATTTTTTATGTTAACCACCATATATTACATCATTAGTTTTTGATGTAGTGTTCCACGATTCATTGTTTGTGTATAACACCCAGTGCTCCATGCAGAACGTGCCCTCTTTAATGCCCACCATCAGGCTAACCCATCCCCCAACCCCTCCCCTCTAGAACCCTCAGTTTGTTTCTCAGAGTCATCATCTCTCATGGTTCGTCGAATAGGAGTCAGTTCTTGCAGAAATGTAAAAACTAGGCTTATTCTTCTCTTTGCTCAGATATTTTATATTGACTTGTGTGTCTGTGGACATCTCCTCCCAAAATAGTCTTGTCTACACTGAAAACCCCTCTTTCTCCACTATAATATCTGCAGTTCATAGGGAGCCCTTGAACATGTCTGTATAGGTGTACTCATGACCAAGCTACTAAACTTTGTTAGTGCACAAATAGGAACTGGCTTTGATCCAAGTAATAATCCACGGCTTGTGACCAAAATTTTAGCAATAGCATTTCACAATTTGCTTAGTTCTCAAACTCCCAGCTGTCTCTTAAATTCATTTTAGGTTAAGAGATGGCTGACATTGAGGTTGATCCTGTGGTCACAAGCTTCCCACCTTTTCAATTGTTCATCCTTTCTCTTGTCTCTTACTGATTAGTATGGATTGCTCCAGCACAGCACTTTTCAAATGATGCACAAACTGGGAGCTCTACAGAATTGTTCCTGTCAAACAACTCATTCCCGCAACAAATTTGCCATTTCCTCACTACTTTCAATTCTGTTCCTGTTCTAACCAGCTCAACATTCAGCATATTTCAACATTCTTACCTTTCAGTGTTTAACACAAAGGGTATGTTAAAAGTGTTGAAAGTGGTATTTGTTGAAGGCTAGGAAGTTGAGGAGGTTTTGTATCTTGAGATTGCAAGGTAAGGAGAGAGGGAGAAATGAAATAATTTACAATGACTTAGGGTGGACTTTTCCTTTTGGAGGTATTAGGTCAGTTTCCAGTTTGTCTCATAAAAATAAAAACAAAATCCCAACAACTGTTTCTTCAGGTAGGAAGAAGGAATGTAACGTTGTTCATAGATAAGAACATTAGAGTGGTCCTATCAGAAATTTTTATAAAACCAATTTTCCCTACTTGGATTATAAACTAATTATCTTAGAGAATTCTATTATTTTGAGGTACTTGTGCTTTATTAATCACAAGCAATTTTCAAACTCTCTCACTTTATTTTGTATTGCTAGCTTGGTCACCACCCTTTCAGCCAGTAGAGATAGACTTTGTTGGAGACAGTGGCAGAGAAACACCATGTATGGAATCCACATCTGTTCAATAACAGCTCTTCAATGTTTTGAAAGCTGAGAGATTAGAAGCCTCCATAAAATGACGATCACTGCAGCCATTACAACCTGAACAGACGTCAGCTGTTGATAATGCAGCTCTCCTAAATGTCCTTTTTATTTTATCACAACAAACATTCTAGTTCTGTGAAACCATTTCATCCTTGACTGCTTTAGCTTGTACCTAAAAGTATGAGTTATTTTATAAAACAAATGACTATTTAAATCTTTATAGGTATATAATATGTATGTATTTCCAGCCATGTGTGTTAATATCTACACAGGTCATCTACACGCCTAAGAGTATACACATTCGGATACAAAATTTTTTTCACAAAAGGCTTTTATAGGTTTTAAAAATATAGCACAGTAGAAACTGACAGAAATGACGATTTAATCCCCTCTATAAATAATATTTCTCATTAAACATTACCTATTCTATTTCTTTTTGTGAAACAGTTAATTTGGGAGGGGCCATAGTTTCTCTTTGACCAGATGATTGCTCATTCACTAAATTCATCAGGCACCTCCTACGTGTCAGGTACTGCTTAGGCACTGGAGAAGGAGCCATGAACAGAACAGATAAAAATCTCTGCTCTCATGAAGCTTATATTCTAGGGGTTGCACAGCCTTGTTTAAATGGGCTTCACATACAATCTCCCTCTAGGACTTAGGCTCTATGGGAATAGACCAACTTTCTCTCCTGCTCACAACTGTATTCCATGTCTAGATCAGGATTAGTATAGAGCACATGGCCAATCATATCCGGGGAATGAACGCATAGATGGATAAGTGCTTTTTCTTTATATATGTTGGTTATGTCCTGTCTATTCAGGAAACTTACAAAGCAAAGTTCATCATACTCACTCCTAGTTTTAGGAAAGTTTGGTGTTTAGATTCAGAGTGTCAGGATGTAGTTAATGTGAACCATTAGCTGATGTTTGACAAATCATTTTTACCTGTATTGAACAATACC